AAATCAGATTGATTATATTCTTTGCAGCCAAAGATGGAGAAGCTCTATACAGTCAGCAAAAACAAGACCGGGAGCTGACTGTGGCTCAGATCATGAACTCCTTATTGCCAAATTCAGACTTAAATTGAAGAAAGTAGGGAAAACCACTAGACCATTCAGGTATGACCTAAATCAAATCCCTATGATTATACAGTGGAAATGAGAAGTAGATTTAAAGGACTAGATCTGATAGACAGAGTGCCTGATGAACTATGGACAGAGGTTCGTGACATTGTACAGGAGACAGGGATTAAGACCATCTGTAGTGAAAGGAAATGCAAAAAAGCAAAATGGCTGTCTGAGGAGGCCTTACAAATAGCTGTGAAAAAAAGAGAAGTGAAAAGAAAAGGAGAAGAGGAAAGATATTCCCATCTGAATGTAGAGTTCCAAGGAATAGCAAGGAGAGATAAAAAATAAAAATAATTTAAAAAAGAGAATTCAACTAGAAACACTAGAAACATGTAAAGCATAGATATTTAGCTACAATATATTAAGTATAAGAAAATTAGGTAAAGTCTAATTTGTTTCCTTCAAAAGATCAAATCAATCCTCTAATATCTCTCCAGGGCACTCTTATGTACTAATCTTCATTTCTTTTCTGGTTCTCTGCATTTCCCAGACCTGGCTCAGTCTTTCCCCCCCCCCAAATATGTCCTCCTTTATTCACTGTGTCTTTATTTATTATTAACCTCTATATTAAGTCTTGAAGTATTTACCTATGTAAACATTGTCAAGTGTCGATGTCTTCATTCTGAGTTTTTATTCCCCATTTCCACTGTGTCAGGTTGTTTCTTCTAAGCTGAAAGAATGGGGGGCACAGACATCTTGGGTTACTTTTATTTAAAGAAACTGAGTCAATAATATAAAAGTGTATTTGTATATAAGGGTAAGTTTATCATGATCATAATAAAATTAATAATATACAGTTTTTTGCTCATTTCTAGAAGTCTGCAGGATTGTTAACCAGCTGGAACAGAGTCAGGAAATGCACAACAGACCTATTTAGCAATCTCCATTTATCAACAACAAAACACTGACTATAGAGAGAGGTAATATATTAGGAAAAATGTTTAATTTCAGCACATACCCAGTTCCTTTTATAAAAATACCCTGTAAATGTGACACAAGTGGGATGAGTTTGAAATATATTTCAGAATTAATTATTGAGAAAAACTATTTAAGAAAGAAGTCTGATGATCTCAGTGCATATGAAAAATTATTCCTTCAGAGTAACCATGAAAAAGCTCATGTGAGAGAGAAACCTTATGAATTAATTCAGAATGGAAAGTATGTCAGTCAAAATGAAGTCTTCTTTCCATATGAGAAAATTAAACATGTAGAGCAGTTGTTTAAATATAAAGAATGTGGGAAAGATTTCTGTGAGAAGACAGTTTTCATCACATATAAACAAGCTCACAAAAGACAAGGTCCTTGTGAACATAATGAATGTGACAAAACATTCTGTAATTATTCAGTTCTCATGGTCCATAAGATGACACAAAAAAGAGAAAGTCTTTATGAGTTTAATGAATATGGTAAAACCTTTGAAAAGGTATTTCTCTTGAAACATTTGAAGCTGAAAGATTATGAACATAATGACAAAGTGGATAAGTTCAGCAGATCAAACTTTATTGACACAGGAGAGAAAACGTTTGGATGTAACAACCTGGGGGAGCCTTTCTGGGAGAAGTCACTTCTTAATGTAGCTCCGAGAACATGCATAGGAGACAAGGTCTGTGAATGTAATGAATGTGAAAAAGCATTCGGTGAAAAGCCAAAACTCCCCAAACATCTGAGAGTACATACAGGAGAGAAACCTTTTGAATGTAATGAATGTGGGAAATGCTTCTCTAGGAAATCCCTTCTCACTTTACATCAGAGAATCCACACTGGAGAGAAACCTTCTCTAGGAATTCACACCTCATAATTCATCAGAGAACTCAGACAGGAAAGAAACCCTATGAAGGTAAAGAATGTGGAAAAAGCTTCTACCATAAGTCATATTTCACAGTACACCAGAGAATTCACACAAGGGAGAAACCCTATGAATGTAGTCAATGTGGGAAAACCTTCATAAGCAACTCAGTTCTCAAAATACATCAGAACACACACACAGGTGAGAAACCCTATAAGTGTAATCAGTGTGGGAAATTCTTCTCCAGGAATGCATACCTTGCAATATATCAGAGAAGTCACACAGGTGAGAAACCATATGAATGTAAGGTATGTGGGAAAACCTCTTGTCATAAGTCAGATGTCACCAAACACCATAAAACTCACATGGGGGGAGACCCTATAAATGTAATGAGTGTGAGAAAACCTTCAGTGGCAATTCAGGCCTAAAAGTTCACCAGAGAACACACACAAAAAACCCTATGAATGTAATGAATGTGGGAAATCATTCTCTGAGAAATCGGTCCTCATGGTATATCAGAGAATACACACAGGGGGAGAACCTTACAAGTGTAATGAATGTGGAAATACCTTTTACAGTAAGTCTGATCTCACTAAACATCAGAGAACTCACCCAGGTGAGAAACCCTATGAATGTAAGGAATGTGGGAAATTCTCTAGAAACTCATACCTTACAGTTCACCAGAGAACTCACACAGGGGAGTAACCCTATGTGTGTAAAAAATGTGGGAAAACCTTCTACTATAAGTCTGACTATACAGTACATAAGAGAACACAAAGAGGGGAGAAGTCTTATTACTGTGATCAGTGTGGGAAAACCTTCACTTTCAATTCAGTCCTCAAATCACATCAGAAAACTCACACAGGGGAGAAGTCCTATGAATGTAATGATTGTGGGAAATCTTTCTCTGAAAAATCAGTCTTTATTGTACATCAGAGAATACACACAGGATAAACCTTATAAGTATAGTGAATGTGGGAAGCCCTTCTATCGTAAGTCAGATCTCACTAAACATCAAAGAACACACACAGGAGAAAAGCCCTGTGAATGTAGTCATTGTGGGAAAACTTTCAGTTGCAACTGAGGTCTCAAAGTACATCAGAGAAGGCACGTGAATGAGCAAGCCTATGAGTGTATTGAATTTGGGAAAACCTCTAAGAAATCATTTCTCACAGTACATTCAAAATTACATACAGGGGAAAGTCTTTTAAATATATTAATAGCAAAGAGAGAAATCTTAGTACCTAGCTATTCATACCTTGAAATACTGTGGAAAATTCATACAGGACATGATCCTTATTAGTGTAAAGTGGTAAAGTTTTTACTCTAAGTCATATTCCACAGCAAATGAAAGAGTTACCATGGGAGAAATTACTGTGAATTTGATGAATATTTTTAATAAGACAACTTAAAATGAATACATGTGGAAGAAATCCTACTAATATATGTGGGAGTGTGTGGAAACATAAATTAGGACTTATTAAATAATTTAAGTAAGAGATAATCTTATGAATCAAACAGATGTAGGAAAATTTTCTTCCAGAACTTGGCTACTACTAATAGTCATATATACCACACCTGGGGAAAGCTGTCAACATCTTTTTTTTTTTGAGATCTTCATACACAAGTTGTACTTATTGTATGTCAGGCAAATAATAGGAATGATATCAATAATACAGCCTATGTTAAAAATGCCATTTTATTGGACAAGAAAATTGATACGAGATGAAAGTCTTAAAGATTTTTTGAATGTGAAGGTTTTAACAGAATTCAGGCTTTATTATAGCTGAAGTTTATATTGAAGGAAGTCTGTCAACTTAGGAAATATGGACAGAAAATTTCCTTATTCTAAATGGTATGTTTTGTACTAATTTCAAATTTTTTCATAGAAATAAAACTGAAAACAGGCATTTACAAAAATATTAACTGTGGAATGTGAAGCTTTTTTAAAAGCACACATTAAATAATCTTCTAAGTCTCTGATTTTACTTTTGGAGAAACACATGTCAGCTCATGGTCCTCCGGATCATGAGTCTTTACATGTATTTGATGAATCTGAACCCTAACTGTGTTATTACTCATGCAAATACAGTTCCTGCATGTCTGTGTTTTCCTGTCTGCAGTTCTGTGGTTGGTTGAATCCACAGATGCAGAACCTGAGGGTATGGATGGCCTACTTTTTAGCATCTGCTGATTTTGGTATTCAAAGAGATATCCTGGAACTAATCCCCAGCAAATGCTGAGGGGTGATTGTCCTGCTTAATGGTTTGGTTCAGCCCCAGACCTGCCTCTGGGGCATCTCAGAATGGACTAGATCCACATCAGAACAATTGCCATGATCAGCACGGGGTAGCTTTGAGACTGCTTCAGTAACCAGAAACATTGAGTGTGAATGAAGCTGGTGTACTGGCTAGAGTACTCTAGTGTATATGACCTCATGCCCCCATCCAGATTCACAGGAAGCTTTTCATAGTCCGCTCTACAACCTGTAACCTTTGTCATCTTCCACAGATTCTAAATTTGGTTAATATTGATCCCACATATCTCATACTTTTACAATAATACACATGTATCATTGCATATATATATATGTGTAATAACATTGTTTTACAAGTAATATCAGTGAGAATGTTTTATGCAACTTGCTTTTGTCTTCAAATGAATGGTTTTGGTATTTATACACGTGGGTATATTTTGCTTTAGTTGATTCTTTTTAATAAAATAACCCAAACTAAAAAGTGGCAAATGATTTGAACAGATGCTTCACAAAATAAGATACACAGTGGGCAATAAATAAGTGAAAGATGCCTAACATCATTATTCATCAGGGATATTCAAATGAAAACCACAGTTAAATAAAATAGCTATTAGAATAGCTATATCAACAAGTGACAATATGAAGCATTGACAAAACTGTGGAACAGCTGCGACTCCTGCACCCTGCTCACTGAGACGTAAAGTGGAACAACCATGTCAGAAAAGCTTGACACTGCATATAATAACCCTAACAACCCAGAAATCTTGCTCTTCAGCATTTAACCAATCAGTATAAAAACAGATGTCTTCACAAAAATACACATTAAGTTCATTACAGCTATGTTCTTAACAATCAAAAACTAGAAGCAGCAGATGAATGAATAAATAAATTGTGATATATGCATACAATAGAATACCACTTAGCAATTAAAATGAAGGTGTTCACTGCTCCTTTCACACTGGGTGTCTGTATTTCCATAGTATGGTTAGAGGGACAGCCACAAGCCAGAACATGGAAAACCAGTAAACTTTTGTGGGAGAATGGGGGAAAATGAGAATCTAGCGTAAGTTAACAGTTTCCTAAATATAAATCATATACTTGATAGTTGCATATTTTAAAAAGTTCTTCTGTCATTGTTAATGACACAAAACTTCTCTTGTTTGAAGGCAAGACCACCACATTTTGTTTGTGTAGGGAAAGTGAGTAGGGGAGTGTTCTTAAAATTGGTATCAGTTCAGTTCAGTTACTCAGTTGTGTCCAACTCTTTGTGACCCCATGGACTGTAGCATGCCAGGCTTCTGTGTCCATCACCAAACTCCCGGAGCTTGCTCAAAGTCAGGGATGCCATCCAACCATCTCATCTTCTGTCGTCCCCTCTCCTCCTGGCTTCAGTCTTTCTCAGCATCAGGGTCTTTTCTGATAAAATTTGTATAATTATTCTTAAAAAATAGAAGTACTTCTTTGGTGAAGCCTCAGTACCCATTCAGTTCACTATGATAATCTGTAAGCAGAACAGCAGTATGGTGCTGGGCCTTTATTCCAGTAAGGTCAGGTACCACATCCATTTCTCAGTCCTCCGAATGATTTTTAAGAAAATATTCTAAAGGAGGACAAGTAAAAGCAAAGAAAAACAAAGGAGGATTTGAAGATCCCTGTTTAAGATTTATTTTTTAAAAGTGCATAATATTTTGAATTAAAAAAAAACTGTCATCCTGTGGGCCTGCTGAACACTAGACTATGTTTTCCACCCGTTTCATGATAAAGATCACTTCACAAAAAGAGAACTTCTGTTTACTGGCTAGGAAAAGGTCCCTTTACTTGATTTTCAAGTGCGATCTGTTGTCCAGTTCCTCTCGATAAGTCTTCCCATATTTTAAACAGATACCATTTCCACTTTGTAATTACATCTAGGTTAAAATTTATTATCTTATACTGGATCTTGAAGTAGAGTCGTTAGTGTTTGGAGTTCTCATTTTAAGCCCTCAGTGCTAGCGCATTCAATGCATCCACCACCAGCAATGGATTTGGGGATAGGAAAACATACATCCTGGTACAGAGGAACTCAGGAAAAATGGGAATTCTCCAACAGTGGTAGTCCATCTCTGTGCATGGATGGGTGTGTGCTCCCTTTTGCAAGTTTTTGGAGGGAGTTTAGGGATATGTTGAGAAGTGCTTTGTCATCAAGGAACAGGTGACCCAGCATTAGAATGCAGGTCCACTTCTTGTGTCGGTGGTGATGGCAGATGCCTTCTTGTGCCATGCGGAGAAGGTATTTGAGGAGGAGGTGGTGTAAAGGGGAGAGGGCACTTTGGGACAAAGGCATTACTATGGTCACTTTTTCCCCCAAAGTGGGAGGTTGGAGGTATAGTGGTGAGTTTAAGAAAACATCAGGTGTCCTCATGGTTTCTCATGGATGTAACAAGGGAGAGCTTTCAGTAGGGCCTGATATAGCGGTCTGGTCTGATATGGAATATTTTGGTGAATAGGCTTTTGGCATGGGTTGCCCCGGAGGAATTGCTGGGGGGCTGTTCCAATGCTTAGACGTCATCCTAGATGGTGAAGATTCTGCTGGAGCAGATTCTTGTCATCTTAGCGGAGGAACAGGAGGGTTGGGACAGGCACTTCATCAGTGCTCTTGGTTAAACTTATAGATGATACTGAAGCAGATCTTGAATGAAAGGGCTTGAATGGTCAGAATTAGGTGTGCTGCAGACATCTGTGGTACTGGAAGAACCAGAAGCAGGAGGAGGTGTTAATGGTTTTCTTGGAGAATTTGGTGCCAATGCTATATATATTTTCTGTTTCACTTTCAGGGGTTCTACTTTAACTATTTTTCCTTGGCTCTTGCTGTGGAGGTGTGGAGTGTCTCATAGTACCTGATCTTGGGTTTAATGGACAAATACTGTGAGCTTTTAGTGAATGGCTATATTCTTTTGGAAATCTTGAGAGAGGCTTAGTGTTTCATGATTCTGTTTATAGGTACTTCTTGAAAAGATAGTCTGTAGATTCTTTTTCCATTCTGTTTCCCATTGGATTCAAGTTTTCAAAGAACTTTTTGATATCTGATTTTAGTCATAAAAAATAAGACTGATTTAGGTATTTCTGGATTTCACCTGCCATTTTTTCTGCTATGTTCTTCCCTTTGCTAAAGTTTATAAGCTCTTTTCCATGCCTTTTTAGGACCTCAGGGCTGCCTTCTTCTGTTTTCAATGTATTAGTTAGATAAATTCCAAAGAAAGGCACGTATGGTGGATTAATAGACCTGAGTTTTGCCAAATATTTCTTTTTTTCCCCTCAAATATTTCTTACAGTGATCTTCTTGTAGTTCATGAGCGGTTTCTAAAATTTTCTTTTGTTAGCTTTGTATTTTGCTCAAACATGTGGTCTAGTCTGTAAACAGGAAATAAATTAATAGCATGGCCAACCTCAAGGACACCATTGACATTGTTCAGCTCTTGAAAGACTTGCAGAATCTCAATTATTTAGCTTCTCACAGCTACTTTTTCTTCTAAGTTCTCGGTTTCTACATTTCTCAAACCACAGAGTGAAATTAGTGGTATGCTGGATCATTTTCAGAAGGTTAGGAGAATTAATCTGTTTTCTTCTGCCCACATACTTTCAACTAATTCTGATGACTGTACAGTTCAATATAAATCTGATTCAAGTAGAGTGAGCTGTCGAGCAATTTCTGTTGGTTTAAGGGGAGCAGGTCAAAAGTCTCTACATGGTCAAAATTCTCTCTTTCCACCAGGTCTACTTATATGCCATTCATCCCTGGGAGGTGAACTCTGAAATGTAATATTATGACCTGGTCCCTTGTCTCTTGCAATTCAGTTCTTTTCCTTTCAATTATTTTAGTGATTGATTCAACCCATTTTTTCATTGCTTTACCTCTTACTGTTCCAATAAATTCCTCCATTAGCTGCAAAAGATCTTGAGTCTCTTTCAAAATCATAGTGGTGTACTACTCAGTGCCAAAGTACATTTAATGCTCACACCTGCACAGGCTGTATTCTAAACCTTTTTCAGTTCTGCACTCAAGGGCTAATATTCTCTAAAGCTATGCAATCAGCTTCTGTTGGCTCAGGCTCTGGAATTTCAAACCTTTCTATTATAGGTTCTTTAGGTTTACAAAAGGATCTATGTGTTGTGAGAAATGTCTGAACAAAATGGGACCCATGTATATATAGTACGTGAGCCTCTCTATAAGTTTAATAACTGTTCTTGCTTTGATGATTGGAATTCCAGCTTTGGACTACATGTTTTCTTCAAATATGATATTTTCTTCAGAGTCAGGCTCTGCAAATCTATAAACATAAGCACTAGGGAGTCTCATCTGCTCCTCCTTTTCTTCCTATAGTATTGTCACATCAAAC